CCCCAAAAGGTTTATGCATCAAATTCAAGGTCCGGCTGTGCACATATTTAAATTTGCAATACTCCACTCAGATTGTTTTAGCAACAGATTCTCTCTCGCATCCGGGCTTTGTCAACTCTATGAATTGAACAGATTTTTATTCAGACGACGGATATCGCAGGCGTATCACGGACGCGCAGTCTTCATGACTATGAAAATACAACTTTTATCATCATCACCTACGTGTCTATAAATAACAATTTGTTGGTATTTGAATTCATTATTGTTTAGCATTGGAGTCTAGAGGAAGAAATATTCTCCCATTTACTTTTTCAATGGAACGAAATGACTGAAATTCAGTTCAGTTGAGTAATAATGCGACGTTTGAATAAATAATGGAAAGCTGTGTCATACTTCATCAGGAGTTCCTAACTTAGGACTTTATTTGACAGTGTGTCGAAAAAAACAAGCCTTCTTCGCATGATTCGAAATTTTTTTAAGTTTCTATGCATTTCGTTCTGCTTTGATATTGCAATACAAAGATGCTCAAATAATTTTACAATTCAGTTCGTTACGCATGGTTTCTATGGTTGCTATTCTAAAGAGAAGGGAAAATTAATTTGGGTGATGAGTCATTATTCTTATGAGAAGTCTTATATTGTCGAAAATCAGAGTATATATATGTGTATATATATATATATATATATACATAATTACTGGTATCAGTTCGAAGATTGTCACACTACTCATAGAGCCCTACATGTGCTCTGCACGAGACGTTTGTAATCAGTACTTTCCAGTCTCTCCTTTCCGGATTTAGGTGAACCAACCGTAACCTAGTATTCCGGGTGTACTATTGATTACTGGGTTCGAACCTTTCATTTATACTAAAATGAACAATCCTGTTACCGTTAGTATGTTATCCCTGACCGTGCTGTAAGAGCAGAAATTCGAATGACTGTTGCCCGGGGTGGGTGGAGTCGAGAGAGGTGAAGGGGTTCGAAAGAGACCTCATTCATTTTCGACGTAAATGGAGCAATCTACAGACGATGTTTGAACCTTCAACTGAATCAGTTTTCATGCAAATTACTGTGTCGATTTGCCTCTTACAATGATGATATTGCGTTCAATAAAATGAGTAAAATAAGGCAAAAATATTATGTTACTATCAAAAGAACATTTCAGAAATGTTGCTCACAAGCCAAAAGAAACGGACAATTCGAATCTGTACCAAACCAGTTAGGCATCAAGTTGGCAGCAAACTGAATACAATATAACACTTGTGATCGTCACTTCAATCACTGACAGATTTAATATGGTTCTAATTTATATCAGGGGTGAGTCAGGTGTGATGTTGGAAGAAACGAATCGTTTGGTGAAATGAAACATGAATGGTAGTCTGTGGCAATTATTTGATGAATTGGAGAATGCAATACCTGTAGAGAAGATTGTCACATAAATTAGAACGATGGAACTCACCGCATATTGTCATTTCATACCTACTTAGATTATTATATCGTTATTTGTCTGAGAACAGTCTGGATTCGGCTACGCGTGTGGTTTACACATAGATATATCGATCGCTATCAGTGAGAGCCGAACCCAGTACCGTACATATGAGGGCTGAGCAAGAATTTTCCGGATGCACCAACCATTTTATCTATTAAACAAAAATAAGCGTCACATTTTCCTTCAGCAGCGTTCATACACAGTTCCATGCGCTCAAGCCATTTGGTGAAACAGCTCGACCATGCCAAAATGATTAACCCTTCGACTAATTCAGTATATATATATATATATTTTAACAAGCAGTTTCTTGACAGATTGTGATTTCAGATATTTTTCTCATCTGCGACACAATCATGGCAAAAAGATACATTTAACTTTTTGCCTTTGTTTCTGATTCCTTTCTGTTCTGTCACATACATACAGAAGTAAAAATACTCATAGTTACTTTGTAGACATTAACAGCATGACAGTGAAGCTGCGTAGATCAGAAAACTAATATTACTGGCGGAAACAGATAGCAATCGATCGTTGGGCAAGCGCAGTGATTACGGTGGAAGATTGAAGGAGCCACTAGTATACACTACGCAGCTAGTAAACATATCTGTCCACTCCACGTTCAATACCTGTTTGACTGACAGCGGGTAAAATGCTTTCGGGTGACACTTAACGGTGAGTTGCAACATCATCATTAATGCATAATTTTTACCTGGTTCTCAAGATTTGTGCGGAAATGCAAGCATGAAGCAGGTGTTAGTTCACATGGTGGATGAACAGATAAGGTCAGAGCAATGCTGACAGAAGAAAGGGAAGGCACGAGGAAATGAGGTACGAGATCGTAAAGCGGGGGGAACTAGAGAGGAAAACTGCATTTCCGCACCTCTTGAACCGTTGTTTGGGTTTCAGATGAAGGCAATAAGTACACAGGTGAAAGCTCCCCAAAAATACTGTTGTATTAGGGATTCAAATAAATTGCATCCCGTTAGTGAATCTCGAAATCATTCTTTATAAAATTACTTGCTGAACACTAATACGTTCTATACCCCGTGGCACATTGAACTGCTTATGTTTGATAGTCAACACCAAACAACTCTCCCAGAGATAGAAATAGATTTCATTAGAATTTGGAATAGTTCTGCTTTGTATGACAGCTTTGTTGATTTTATTTGAGGTTTATCTTGCTTTCGCGTCATCGAAACAGGTATTTGGATTTTCATAGTGGAACATTATTTCCACCACTGTAATAGCTGCTCTATCTTCTATGATTGCCTTGATAACTGCTGCATAGTACTTTGTGAGAGCCACTTTCAGCGTTGGATTTTTCTTGCAGGCAATTTGGTTTCGCATTATATTGAGCTGTAACGTTTTCATGCCAATCATTATATAGTTTGTGGATGACAGAGGTAGTGCTAGTGAACACAAACACTGAATTGCAAGCCTCCCTTTGAACAATTGATAACATTTCCAAATGTTTCACATTTAAGGCGTTATACACGATGAAGTCGGATTCTTGTTTTCAGTTCGCGAATGGTACGAAATCTATCACATGAACTATACTGCTTGCTAAATTAGGATCGGACAGCAACAAATTCTAATCGTTTACAACCGAATAGTTTTTTTAACATCCACGTATATTTGCGTAGATATTTTTTATTTGCATGCATTGCAAGAATCGGAAAACCGTTTTTCCGTTTCTTTTTAGTGAAATTTCCGTTCATCATGTGAAATGAATAAAAGTACTTGAGGTGTACTTTATACCCCTCGTATCCCACCTGAAGTAGTTGTTTTATTCATTTTATTCCTCCCGAGGTGGATAATGAATACTGTTCCTATTTCTCGTAGCAGGTAACCGTATTTTCTTCTTAAATTATTCAAAACAAAAGCTGATGAATTCATTGAAATCACAAAATCTCCGCTTAAACCGGCTATGTAGTTGACCCAAATGAAAAACACTGCCCTGTTAGGAGCCCGAGTTATTTCAGATTTTAACTGATACCGTCAATTACGACATACTTCATTGTGAGCAACAGTAATGCACAGTAATATGTCACAATAAATCTGTTCTATTTTTTATATGATTTTCGCAGAACTGTCATCCACAAAAAAAGATATACAATTCAGTATTGTACTCATCCTGTTAAAAGTTGTCTTGCCACCTTAATGCGCGTGTGCTTATCGCACTGATTTCGATCAGGATTTCTTTTCTGTGTAATTTTGAGTTTTCTCAAAGTGCAACTCACATGCAAATAAAAATATGACACGGTTAAACAAAATAAATTTAACAAACTAAGAGGATGCCAGATTTACTACCTCATGGTTAGAAAACAGTCCTGAATGGAAGAGAGTTTGTTCTTGATCTACCATGGCTTAACTATGGCGATATATTCAAAATATCCCAATGCTATTAATCTTATGCAATACGGGGTTCAAGTGCTTTAGGAAAGTGGAACTTTGGAACGAAACAAGCGTTTTGGTTTTTAAAAAAATCAGTCTCGCTAACTGCTTTCCTGGCATCAGTTATGTGCATCGTTGCTAACTGTCACACGTAAAATCGACACGTAGTTATCCGTTGAAGTTAAGTGCGATAGACGTTTGGTAGTGCATAACCCTGCACAACTGGATTTGAGCCATCACAAGCTCGATGGTTATAACCATCGACTACTTATACTAGGCCGGATGAACAAGAGATAGTGCTTCTAATGTTCAGACGCGCGCACAAATACAGAAGGTTTCTCAGTGAACAGTAGGCGGCACATTGAGAGTTGAGAAAAAATGATTTAATTAACAAGCTGGATTTCGATAATCACATCGCCTGGTTACTGAGGTTACGTAACTTCGGAAAATGGGATAGCATGATCGCATACACAATCATGTAACTTGATTAAGTGTGAGACTGTGATTTGCAAACTAGGTGTCATGTGGATGGGAACACAGGTGGGACACATTTTGGTTGGAGTAGGGTTGAGGTAACCATTTTTGGCTCGAGCTCCAGAGTCAGATTCGGGACCATTTCCATTTCTGGGAGCAGATATATCTTGGGACCATGTCAGTTAGAGTCTTAAGATAACTTGAACACTCTAATAAAATGTTGGATTAGGCAGAAGAATGAATTATTTCAACTGTTGCTATCTGGGATTGCCGGACAGTTTATGATAGATTACGAAGCCTCCGACAGATCCTTTTGAAGTCATCTTTGTTCACTTGATGACCTATTTCCACGACATGCTTCATGAACACACGAAATGTGCTTCCTTGCACCGCTTGAAACGCACATATGTTTACAACATTGTACAATAATAAAATCCACATTGAAATAAGGACGAGTTTCTTGAAAACAATCTTACGCACTATTTTATCTTTCCGTAGCGATATTGATTGGTGACAACATGAAGTGTGACCCATTGCAATGTCTGCATTCTTCATAGTGTTGTGGTGATATTTTATCCATTTTTTATTTTACTTTTCATTTACTTTGTTAAAATCTTGTTTCTATGTTTCTCTTCTGTCGATTTCAGTGATAGGGATCAGCAGGTGGTACACAAATTGGACATAGCTACACAAACCGAATCCTCCGTGCTTTCGCCTTTATCCTCGGAGACCGATCATGGGGTAAGCTGAGAACTCCTCCAAACTTCCGTGCTTTATGTTTATATTGACTGATGTGCGCGCTGGCTGGTCTTTTTTTCTCTTTAAAAGTGATGTTGTATTCAATCAATTCCACAGTCTATTCACCCACTCTGTCTGCTTATACACAATCAGCTTTTCGATGTCCCGAAGAATACATTTAGACATGAAGGAAAATGTCCTGCTTCATATTGTGCGTACTAAAAAAAGAAACTTCTTTTTTCACAAAATTGATAAATCTTAAATATGGCGGTTTGTTGCCATAAATGCGAACAGAATATAATATGATTCCTTTGATTTCATTCTCTACAGTCCCAAATATTTTTCCCGTGTTTATCACTCCGTCAGCACAAAATGCGACCGATTTGGGCTTGCGATACCTTCCGTTTCCACTTTCGGATGTGAATAGGTGACGAGAGATGTTGGAGGTCTTCAATGCGTTTCGGGTGATAAACAGACTGTGGGTAGGCAAGGTTGACGCAACCACAATGATAGTGGTTGTAGTAACGTTAACCCCATGATCAGAGCTGATTGGACCTTTTCACTCAGCGGTACGAATATGCTCAGCCGACGAGGGTATACACGTAGTGTTATGCGTTTGTTAACAATGTGAACAAAACAAGACATACTAATGAGAAAAAACAATCAATTGTTTTGGAAAAGGCAAAACAACATCATAGATCAACTGGGGCTAATTTTGTATTAGGATCGGATTCTCTAGGATCCCATAATTGTTACATCGTCCGAAGTCGTATGCCGGCCACAGCGGAAGCGGTAGGAATTCGACTGCACAACCTCCTCTGTGCGCCTTAACACAATTTATGCAGGCGTTTATGCTCCTCTGGCTTAGTCCCCACACAAACCATATTCCGAGTGGTTCCAACGATCGGATGACCTAACATTTATGTGATCATTAAGAATCCCACGTCCGGTCCGAAGACAAATTAGCCCCAGTTAACCTATGATGTTATTTTCCCTTTCCCAAAACAATTGGTTGTTTTTTCATGGTGGAATATTGATATAATATGTAAACAGCGTGATATTTATTACGATGTATTTGGCGTGACTACGAATCAATGGATACGAGCTTGTTCTATTTGAAATGTGCTCTGTGGGATTGTTTATACAGTTAAAACTAATGAGTCCGGAAATTGGAGACTAGCGCACTAAACATAATTTGATCATAAAACATTATTCGGGCAGGATTTACTCATGTTTTCTATGATACGGAATGGAGCTTGCGCAGGGTTAGCTCTCTGTATTTGTCATCAGTGGCATGATTGTCTTAGTGCAATATATGACCAGGTTGAATTGTTTTTATACTTCAGCTGTGATTAGATATCACACAGAAGACGTTTATCTGGGCATTCCGCATAAGCACTAACGCTATGGTTTAGCTTATTCCAAGTGAAACGAGTGGCTGGGCGGAATGATGTCACAAACCCTCGTTTACAATTCATTTTGTCATGATTTAATCAGAGTAAAATGTTCTGGACTGCTAGTAAAATAACACTTAACATTGCAACACAAATCGTAGTTGCTCTGGCGTGTTCTTAACGCATTAGTACAGTAAACTGTGTGAAATGATAATCGGACGATAGCCGATTTTATGTCGCTTTCCCCAATTTTTCTCAGAAAAAGGGTATATAGGGGCAATTAAAATGGAAAACTGTTGCGTATATGTGTATTTATATCATATCTGACATATTTTGATGCAAAGGCTTCACTCGAATATTCTTCGGTGACAACTAGGTCTAGCAGCGACAGTCTCTGTTGTTCTCGGTATCTCATTGCTCTTGTCACATGCTGGATCAGAAATCTTTCTTTTAGAAATTGCAAGAATGAAGCCTCTGAGAATCCCGTAGGTGCGTCGACCATCGTTAACCTCCGGAAAACTGAAGTCGCCAGTAATGACAAAACGCCGGTATCTCGTCAGAGGTTTTTGCAGGATCATAAGCATCTCCGTATCCTCCCTTGGCATCGTATTCGGGGCTGTATATATGCATGCTACGCTCACTTGCTTCCGACCTAGCTGAATACAGTATCCTGTGGCTTGGATATGCAAAGTAGCTAACTTCAGCTAAATTCACCTTTGGTTTAGGACGGTCTTGACGAGCGGCGTTACTTCCCCTCCTGTCTGTGGTCCCTGTCCTGCCCATAGCTTGCATGCTTGTTTAAATGGGCAACAGGTTACTCCTTCTTCAGCAATGATTCAGTGACACTGGCTGTGTCTGATCCCCGGGAGCGGGCTCCTAATTTTTCCCACTTTCCACTGATACAACAAGTTTTCGTGTAACACACTATGATAACTTCTGCTTCTAGAGCTGGCGGGGGTGGCCTATCTATAGCATCAGAGTCCTCGGGCCTAATAACAGAGGAGCCACCTCGTTCTTCGCTATAACGTTGACGGTGGGAATGTCCTCAGCAACCCATGACAGTCCACCCTTGACTTTACCTATATTAGTAACTTTTGGATTTGACAGTGGACTCACAATGGTTTTCAGGTGTTATTTCCCACTGGAGTCCTCATTAACCACGGCTAACTTATGCCGATGTGTATTGGCCACAACCGTGGCCCAGCTGTGGGACCCAGATGACCTTTCTGGTGTTGCCAGTGGTTCTGCCTTGTGGGCAAGATGTTGTTTTCTTGCAGGAGCAACCTCTACCTACTTTCGTGCTCTTCCGCTTTACATTCTCTGCCTCTGGGACTGTAGCGATAAGTTTGGAAGCTAACTTGGTTCGAATGGCTTTGGGTACGGTTTTAAGATGAGTTCCAGCGCGCTGTACGATGCTGCTTGACTTTGGTGTCGATTTACTCAAGGGTGATACTGGCGGCTTAATAACGGGCTTAGTGGCGCTTAAGATGCTACTCCTATGCTTCTGTTTGTGGCTGTTAACTTGGCTTTAGGAAGCTCACCAATTATTTATAATTTAACTTGGGGATGAAACATGCAAGAGTTGGGAAGCATGTAGTTGAAGCCGAGTGTAAACCTAGTCGATAGGCGCATAAATTCGACTAATTAGCACCTCATTTTTGCAAGTGAACAATTTGTTGCTCCATCAACAGATTCTTATCGTCAAGTCATAACCGAAGAGCCAGTAAGCCGATCACACCGAAGCAAGACGACGACGGTAGAGTTCAATCACAGCTGAGAAAAGCTGCACATAACCTTTAAGGAGCATAATCGAGGGCGGATCAACCGCAATTTTCTCAGGTCATTGTTTGGAAAATGGTGGCTCAATTTGAACTGCAATTATCATCATCTGATATGAAGCTGTTATTGAACGCACTACAGAGGAGAGCACGTATTGATTTAACCAGCAAATTCATATCCTCTCGTCCGTCCATTTGGAGTTGTTCCTATCTGATTGTTGGTCAATGGGAAATTCAGCAGGTGAAGGAAGTTGCTCTATTCTCCCTCTCTCTCTAGATATAACCAATTTTTTCAGATATGGCGCCAAGATAACCATAGGTTTAATGCAGAATATAGGAACACAAGCGGGGAAAACAAAACTAGTCCACTCCGGGAATAACAAATTGTTTTTTTCTGTTTGTTGCACGTCTGGCTATCGCAAAATTTGTCACACTAATAAAGCCTGTTTTCGACAACTACCACTCGAGAAATGTATTCGCAAAAATCATTTTTCCTAGATAAAGGTTAATATAGAATCTTTCGCGTGGTTGGTCATGGAAAACGGTTAGACCTCATTCAATATTGATTTATCACCTTTACGCAGTTTCTGTGGGGGTTAATTTCAATGTTCACTTCATTTAATTACCATCCAGCACTTGTCATTTTAATGTGATCGAATTCTTTACCGTCATTCTCTCTATCTCCAATCAAATAAAATATTTTATGACCCTTGAACAAACAAAGGGATCCCGACAGAGATTTCACAAACCGCTGCCTCAGCATTATCCCGGAATGTGGTGTACTTAAATTATACAAACCTGTGTTCAGTTGGTTCTGTCTGGCCATTTTTTTCATGTAATAATCTGATCGACTTATTCTAGTTACATTGCGTCCGCTTCCCGAAATGGAGATGCATGCTTACTTCTTGATATCCGTCACCGCTTATACCACAAATTAACACGCCAGATGACGAAACATGTATCTGAAATCCTGCAATGCAATGCAAAACAAATAAAAACAAACTCACCTGTTTGCACACGTGTGGTGGTTCGTCTAAATCTCTAGCAGGAAGTAGTTGGGATTGTGTAATTTTCACTCAGTGATGAATAACTGTAAAACCGGATGTCTTTTGTTCAACCTGATTCACAATTGTCTACTTTTGGTCGGCAGTATTTTGTTCGAAAGTTGTTGGAATTGAAAATAACGTGGCACCGTTCGTGAAAGGCTCCATATCTGATTGCTTTCCCTCAGACTTTCATTTGGCCCATCGAAATGATATTGGCAAAATGTGAAGTCAGGGAGCAGTAGTCAACTTTCAAATGTTCAGATCGGCTTTGTTTCACTTTTGTCGACGGTAAACTTATACTCAAGAATCACGCCCTTTCAGGAATCGTGCAAACACCCAATTGGTCTCTGTGAGCTAAAGTGTGACACAGAAATGTGAAAGCAAACTGCCTAACTGTTCACATCCTAATGACACGTGCAGGCATCAAATAGTACTCTCTGTTCCTTATTAACCGTGCATTTCAAAATAAGATAAACTTTACCCATGCTTTAAACTGATCACTTAACCGCTTGTTTTCACAAACACGGAGATCTTTTATGTCATACATAGTACAACCTAAAAAACACAATGTGCTTATTCCACTGTTAGCTTTGCTCCTACTTTGGCTCATTTTCCATTCTTTCATAATCCGTTTAGACCCAACCATTTGAACGGTTATTACCTTGAGCAGAAATGTTCCTACAAATAGATTTTTATCTATCTTCCTTTTGGATTGAAGTGTCACATCGATATAAGTTCAATCTTTGTAGGTTAGAAGTGATAGAGAAGAACGCACCTGTTCGTCT